CCTGGCCTGTTTTTTCTCTTTCTTTCCTGACTGCTCCAGCGGGGACTTCCAGCGCTGTTTAAACAGAAGTGTCAAGAGGGGGCTTCCTTGCCTTGTTTCTGATCTGAGGTGAAAGCTTTGTGCTTTTCACTGTTAGCTGTGGTTTGTCATTAGGTGTGTTTGGGATTTTTAAATCTTTCTTCACCTCATGATCATGAAAATATTCTCCAACGACATCCTCTAAATGCATTTCTCGTTTCCCACCTTTCACGTTTCCACCTAACTGCCATCTGAGATGGACTCTGTGGAGCGGGAGGTGGAGTTTAAGGTTTTCTTCTCTGAGGGGATCCAGCTGTCTGTGCATCGCTTATTGAAACATCCTTCCCTTCCCCACTGCCCGGCGCAGCCACCACCATCGTGGCAGGGGCAGAACAGGAAAGCAGCAGCCGGACTAGACAGTCTAACAATAGTGTGGCACGGGCCACCCAGGGGTGCCCACGGCCCAGCCCCGGTGCCTGTGAGCCTGTGACGTCGCATGGTGCTGGGGCTTTGCAGATACGATTCCAGACTTGAGGTGGGAGACGATCCTGCGGATATGGGAGGGCCCAGGTGATGACAAAGCCCTCACACGAGAGAAGCAGGAAGGCCAGAGAAAGAGCCTGGGGGCTGCGCTGCCGATGGTGAGGATGGAGAGCGTGGCCGGGAGCCAGGAACAGATTCTCCCCGGGAGCCTCCAGGAAGAGGGTGGCCGGGCTGGTGCGCCATTGTGAGCCGGTGAACCCCATTTGGACCTCCGATTCCCAGAGCCATCAGACAGGAAGCCGTGCCATGTTTAGCCCCCGTTTTGTAGTAATTGGTTAACGGCAGCCACAGAAACTAACAGAACCCTCACCACAGAGTAACTGAAAATCAGGCTGCCGGTGATCTAAGTCTTTTTGAAATGCATTACCCAGCGGCCACAAAAGGAAAAGATAGGCTGAGCCTTGAGTGTCCTCAGCCGCGAACTGCTGAGTCCGGGGCGCCGCCAGGTGTGGCCACACCGCGTGGTAAAACGCTAAGGGCACCATCAGAGAGCTGGTGTGCAAACTCCCAAAGAATAGAGAAGGAAGAATGAATGAGGAAGACAAATGGGCCAGTTACCTCAATCAAGGCATCCAACAGCCAGTAATGGAGAAACACGTAGAAAACCAGGACAAATAAAAATAAAACAGTAAGATGGTAGAAGTTGGCCAATTTATGTCGTATATCAGAAAAAGTAAATTGGCCAACCCTGCTAACGAGACGACGGGAGATAAGAGGATGCAGCTGCATGCCCTTTGCAGGAACACACCCATCGCAAGTGACCCCCACGTGATAAACCAAGAGAAGCGAAAATGAGTAAATACTTAAGAGTAACCCGGAGGGCTGGTGTCTGACTCTCAAGGGAAACAGACTTCAGAGCCAGGCATTATTAGGGACATGGACACCATGAGAATCGAAGGTCCACCTCCTCAGAGACATGAAATTGCCTCCAAATACAAGAAGCAATAAAAAGTAGAAACTGCAGGGTGTGGCCGTTGACCAGCCCCGACGCTGGGAGATCTTACCGTGCCTGGATTACTGACGGGTCTGACAGACAAAGCAAAAAGAGGGGATTCGGGGTGACGTAATTAACAATCTTGGCTTAATAGAGACATGGAACTCTGTGCCTCAAAAGTGGCGATTTGCAATCTTTTCAACTACGCTGGGAATAATCACAAAATTGAGAAGCAGATCCTACCGTGTCTCAGACGCCAGCAGACGGCCCACACCTGAGGCCAGTGTGAGGAGGGCGGAAAGCAGTTCTCCAAGGCAGACTTTTTTCCATCCTCGCACACTTGAAAATTCAAGACCACACTTCTAAATATCTCATGGGACTCAGAAGAAATGAAATGATCATGGAAATGTCAAAAACTAGCGAGATGTTGCTAAACGTAACTTAGAAGGTATTGCAACTGTAAATGTCAATGTTAGAATAGGAAAAGCACCAGGATTCAGAAGCTCAGCACCTGATTTAAGAAGTCAGAGTTGGCCAGGTGCGGTGGCTCACGCCTGTAATCCCAACACTTCGGGAGGCCGAGGTGGGTGGATCACGAGATCCGGAGATCGAGACCATCCTGGCTAACACAGTGAAACCCCGTCTCTACTAAAATACAAAAAATTAGCCAGGCATGGTGGTGGGCGCCTGTAGTCCCAGCTACTCAGGAGGCTGAGGCGGGAGAATGACGTGAACCCGGGAGGTGGAGCTTTGCAGTGAGCCGAGATGGTGCCACTCACTCCAGCCTGGGCGACAGAGCGAGACTCCGTCTCAAAAAAAAAAGAAGTCAGAGCAAGGAGGCAGAATAATCTCAGGGTGAGCAGAGGAGCACGTGCAGAAAGATGACGCCGAGGAAACATCTCCGATGCCACGGAGAAGAGCAGCCAAGAAAGCCGGAAACGGAAGGAGACACAGCCCTGACGGTGCACCAGAGGCGACCAGAGAACGTGGGAGTCTCCAAGCAACTTTGAACCAACGTAGCAAAACCCCTGGGCAGCAAGGACGAAATACTAGGAGAAAACACTTTGAGATGCCAGGAAGAAAGCAAACCTGAATAGTCTCATAACCAATAAAAAAGCACATCGATGGATTTAAGTCTGCCCACAAAAAAATATCCTTTTCTCCATGTTTCCACTGAATTCTGCCAGACTGTCAAGAAACAATCATGTCAGCATTAGATAAATCTCCCCAGTATCAGAAAAAGTAGACAGCTCCTCCCATCCTTCCCTAGGCCAGCCTAACTCCTCCCAGATGCTCCAGAATGGCACAAAAAATGCATAAAAAGATAAGCTGTCATCACTCAGTTTAGCCTTTTCTCTCCCCTTCTTCCCACTTCCTGACGGGGTCTCGCTCTGTCACCCAGGCTGGAGTGCGGTGACACAATCACAGCTCACTGCAGCTTCCACCTCCTGGGCTCAAGCCATCCTCCCACCTCAGCCTCCCGAATAGCCTGGATTACAGATGCAGGACGCCATTCCCGGCTAGGTGTTTTTTAGAAACAGGAGCTAACTCTGTTGCCCAGGTTGGTCTCGAACTCCTGGGCTCAAGCGATCCTCCCACCTCGGCCTCCCAAAACACTGGGATTACAGGCGTGAGACACTGTGCCCGGCCCCAGTTTAACCTTAAAACGCTACAGGTGTCCTAGAAGAACAGTCGTGTGAGCATTTCAGTCAGCGCAGGGTGAAAGCATTTGATAAAACGCACACATTTACTTTGTGAGCCAGGAACCGAACGCAATGCCCCATCCTGATAAAGAAATCCATCAAAAGCTAGAGAGAGCCTCCTTCTTAATGGGGCTCCCTTAGAAGCAGCCTCTCTGAAGGGGGTGAAGCAGGGAGCCCCATCCGTGCGTCCATTCTGCTGTCTGCTGGAGGCCCCAACATAGGCACACAGAGAGGAAAGGAAAGACGGGGCACAAATAGGAGGGAAGTGGCCATCCTTCCCAGGCACACGGCTGTCTATGCAGAGCCTGCAAAAGAAAGTGTTCGTGTAGACAGGGGCCGGTTGTAAATCCCTGTACAGAAGGCCCTGGAACCGGTGAGGGGCCCAGGCATGGCAGGCACACTGGTGAGTGCCCAGTGGGGTGTGTGAATGGCAGCCAGGTGGGCCTTGGAGCCTTTCAAGAGTGGTTCTTCCTTGAGGGCTTTCCCCAACCCCGTGAACCTTTGCATTTCAGAAGTTATTGCCTTGTCAACTTCACAAAAATTAAAATTGCTTGTTTTCACAACTTGTGTTTTTTCATCGAAGTGAAATTTGCATAACATGAAATTAACCGACAGTGTGGCCGGACGGCTGCCTCGAGCTGCTGCCAAACATCCCCACCTCTTTCTTGTCTTCAACAGAAGGTGGCGTGAAAAAGGAGGGGAGAAGCAGAGACCCCAAAAAGAGAAGCCTAGTGAAGAAGGGCAGGAAGGTAGGTAGGGGTCTGTGGTGGGGGATCGGGCTGGTGGGCACAGCTGGAGGTCGGGCTCGGGCCCCTGCACCTGGTATGACCTGCTCTGTGGGCACAGCTGGCGGTTGGGCTCGGGCCCCTGCACCTGGCGTGACCCTGCTCTGTGGGCACAGCTGGAGGTCGGGCTCGGGCCCCTGCACCTGGTATGACCTGCTCTGTGGGCACAGCTGGAGGTCGGGCTCGGGCCCCTGCACCTGGCGTGACCCTGCTCTGTGGTTGCAGGGCAGCGTCCCCCGGACCATCCCCGCTGACTGCATCACAGTCGACTCCGACAACTTCAAGTGTATCCTTTGATGAGCCCCAGTGGGGGGACCGAGACCCCACCCTGTGCTCCCATTTCTCCTTGACCAGGACCCAGTCATCGTGGACCCATACGAGGAGGCCCAGGGCCCAGGTGGGTGCTGCACAGGGCTCCCTGTTCAGGCACACGCCAACCTCGGGCCTCCTGCCGCCCTGCAGTTGTGGACAGCAGCTGGTGCCCCACTCCTCGAGGCTCCAAAATCTGCATATGTGCTTGCCCTGTGTTGGCTTTAAATATTTTAATTTGTTGGGGTTTTCTCTCTGGCTGGCCTGGTTCTACCATCACCCCACAGGGCATGGCAGGGCACTGACACATCCACCTGCATTCACCGTGACCCCTCCCCAGGGCCCCGGCCCTGCACACGTGTGTCTGATGAAGTACCGTGGTCTGTATCCACCCCGTTCTCCTTGCAGAAATGCTGACTCCTGTCTCCGTCACCCAAGACATTTTGGAAAGATTCCAAGACACATTCACTTCGCGATGGGTGGGACATCTGGGAAGCAAGCACTTTCCCAGGTTCGGATCTGGGCTCCCAGGAGTTGTTTACAGTGTGGCAGGTCTTGAGGGTCCAGCGGGAAGCCACTGCCCCCCACTCCCAGCTCCCTGGGTCTGCCCCGCAAGTCCCACCAGGTACAGCAGGCGATGCTGAGACAGACCCAGCTCCTTGAGTCCTCACAGAGACTGGGCAAGGGGCACTGTCCCCACTTTACAGATGGCAACCTGGGGCCCCCAGGGTCACCGATAGCACGTGGTCCAGCAGCAGGGGCTGCCTCTTCACCACCAGCACTGCAGCCCCTCCAGAGACCACTCGCAGACTCTGCCCCCCAGATGCCCTCGGGGTTCTGTGGTCCAGAGGTGTCCACAAGCAGCTAGCAAGGAACCAGAGCAACCAGGGAGAGCCACGGGTGGGAGGGGTCGCTCTATGTCACAGGCTCCATGCCAGGGGCGAGGCTGCAGGGGCAGATGTGTGCAGAGGCAGGTGTGTGCAGGGGCAGGTGTGTGCAGAGGCAGGTGTGTGCAGGGGCAGGTGTGTGCAGAGGGGGGCGCTGTAGGGGCAGGGCTGGGGTCCTGTATGGAAGGAGGGAACCCGGGTCTGGTCACTGTCTCCCCTGCCTGGAGTACTGGGGGTGCCTTGACCTCCACGTGCTGGGCCATTGGGAAAGCCCCCACACTTCCCGCAGCCAGCCCCGCCCGGGGAGGGTGTTCATTCCAGCACAGAAGTCAGTGCTCGTGGGGGGTCCCCTTGACTAGGCTCCGTCGGAACCCCTGTGATCGGAGCACAGAGGAGGGAGGCGTGGGCATTGGGAACAAGAAAGAAAGTTCAGTTGAACGCACAAGTGGGACAGGCGTGGACCACACAGGATGTGGCCTGCTTTAAAAACCCACGGTGGGGTCTGGCGTAGGTGCCTGGGCACTGTTGACCCACGCTCTCCTCTCTCTGCAGCCAGGCCCAGTGGGAGCAGGCCCTGGGCAGCTGCAACGGCTTCTTCTTCTATGGGATGGAGAGCTTCCTGTCCCATATATTAGTGGAGAGATTGGTCGCCATGAACTTGCAAGGTGAGAGGGGTCCTCTTGGCACCCCTTTCCCCGGGGGCACAGCACAAATCTGCCTGAGGACAAAGCAGGGCCACTGTAACCTGCTGGTGCTGCCCCCACCCTCTACAGCCACAGCCCCCTCCTGACCCCACCCTCTGTGGCCGCAACCCCCACCTGCCCCCCACCCTCTGTGGCCGTGGCCCCCACCTGCACCCCAACCCTCTGTGGCCGTGGCCCCCACCTGCCCCCCACCCTCTGTGGCCGCAGCCCCTCCTGTCTGCAGGTGGACGACCTCTGCTCCCCCTGCCTGGCCCACACAGACGTGGAAGCCACAGGAGCTTCTGGCCTTCCCGTCCTTCATTTCTGAGTGCCCCCACTCCGCCCAGCATGGCTTTTCAGACCTGGCAGGCCAGGAGTCAGTGCCGGGCCCAGGAGCCCAGGAAGGCTGGGGTGGGCAATTCAGGACCTCACTGGTCACAGCCCCTCCCTCAGGGCCCCTCTAGTCTAATCATAGGCACTTGGGACCTTGCCTTCCCCTTCGCTGTCCACCAGCCGTGGAGGGGCTGCCAGGTGTGGTCCTGCCGTGCCCGGCACAGTGACACCCCAGCCAGCTCCAGCACAAGGGGGCTTTTGGCAGGAGGTGGGGATGGCACAGCAGGCTGGGGGCATGGCATGAGCAGAGCACATGCGTGGGGGCACATCACCCCGTCACACGCCACGGCCCGAGGGTGGCGCTGATGGAGACAGGAGGCGCGGCCACTCCACACTGCAGGCTGAGCGGTCAGGAGACAGGCGTGGCTCAGCCCTGTGCCAAGGCCACCACTCAGACTCAGCTCCTGTGGCTGCAGCCCCACCGGGATGCCCCCTCTGGATGCCCCCTCTGCGGGGCCAGCCCACTCGCTGTGACTTTCTCTGGTGGGGTTGCTGATGACCCCACTGTGCGGGGTTGACGGGAGCCCTTCAGGGACCCGGGAGGCGCTGTGCCCCCCATGAGGTATGTGGGCCCCGTTGATGGAGCAGAGCAGGTGTGTGGACAATTGTCCCGTGGCACCTGGCACCTGGGGCCTGCACTTGGGTGGGGCCAAGCAGGACCCCCACTCTGCTCTGCAAGCCTGGGCCTTGGCCTCAGAGGTGCCAGAGCCCATCCTAGGTGGAGTTAGAAACGGGCATCTTTGAAAGTTTAACTCCAAGCGAGGCAGTGAGTGAAGCAGAAGAGGCCTCGCCAGGGCTCCCCCGACTCCCCCGCAGCCTCGGCCTCGCGCAGCTGGGGGTCCTTTCAGCAGGCACGCCCAGGGTTGCACTGGCCCCCGGTCCCTGCTTCCATGGAGGCCCCAGGCCAGGGTGACCAACCCATCCCCAGTGCCCAGGACTCCCCTGCATCCCAGGAGCCTCCCATGTCTCCACCACACAGGGACACGTGGCCCCTCACATCGGCCCCCAGTCAGTGCTGCCCCCCAGCCGCCCGTCCCTCCGTCCTTGGGGAGGGCTCCACCTCATACACCTCATTCATGTGGGGTGCCAGGGTGTCCAGGCATGGTGCGGGCGCCGAGGAAGCTGGGGGGCCCAGGTGGGCTTCCCACACTTCCTGTTGCCCAGCACAGTCACCTGGAGGAGGCTGTGAAGGGCCTGGGCTCCTGAGGCTGGCCAGGTCCACTGTGGCCAGGGGGTCCCTGCAAAGAACCTGATGATGATGAGGTCAGAGCCTGGAAGTGAGTGGCCAGCGTGCCATGCCCTATCGCGCCCTGGGGGTGCAGGCCCCACTCGCCCACACCCCCACCCCCACTCCCCGTGTCGGGCCAAGGCTGCTGAGCCGCCCTTCCCACCCTTCCCATCCCGGCAGAGTGCCAGGTGGCGGTCCTGCTGGACCTGGCGCGGTCCTACCAGAGCTTGAGGCGGCACATGGAGACCGTGGAGCACAGGAGGTGCCTGGCTGCTCGGAGTGGGTGGGCGGGGGTGCTGAGGATGGAGAGGTCAGATGGGCGTGGGACCCACGAGGGAGCAGGGGCCTGTGGGGGCGGGTTTCAAGAACGGCGAGAGCTGTCGGGGCGCACGTGCGTTCCAGCAATTGGTGAGGTGTGCATGGGGAGGGGGCGACTCGGCTGAGCCCCTGGCGCCAGCCCACGGGAGCCGGGTCTCCACAGCGCCTCCCAGCTGTCCCTGGAGGAGCCCGTCGAGGCGGCCGTCCTGCTGAGCCTGGTGGGTGTCAAGAGCATCCTGGCAAACCAGTGGCCGACGCTGCTGCAGGACAACGCGCTGCGGGCCAACGTCCTGTGGGAAAGTGCGTGGGCCCCGGGCACCCGGGCCTGTCCCGTACCCCTTCAGCAAGGCTGCCAGGTGTCCATGCCTGCCTGAGGGGATGCTTCTCTCCCAGATCTGTTGGCCGTCGGGAAGCCGGTTGGAGAAACGGTGCGCTTCCTTCAGAAGATGACTGGCGAAGAGGCCGTGAACCAAGGTAGGGGAGGGGCGGCCTGCACCCCGCAGCCTTCAGCACCCTCTGCAGCCACTGCCCGTGGGGCATGTGCACCCCACAGCCCTGCGGGGACAGGTGTCTCCGCTTCTCCGTGGGGAACTGGGACTCCCGACGTTAACTAGGAGCCGGAAAGGGGGAGGGCTTGTTCTTGCCTGGAAGTTGCCGGCGTCTCTGCACTGCCCAGCCCCCAACGGTGGCAGCGACGGCCTCGGCAGCGACGGCCCACAACGCCACGTGGCTCCAGAGCCCAGGCACCCCCTCGGCAGCAACGACCCACAACACCACGTGGCTCCAGAGCCCAGAGGGAGAGCATCGCGCTCGTCAGACAGCTGATTCCTCGCTGACAGCTCCAGTCACACAATCCCCTCGAGCCCAGGGCGCTCTGGGAACCGGTGGGAAATCCGGGAGGCAGCTGTGCCTGGCCCCTCCCCAAGCAAGGACTCGCAGGGGCCAACAGCCTGCACCACAGTGCCCGACGGCCCCGGATATGGCCAGGAGTCCCAGCCCAGGAAGAGGCCTCCCAGAAGAGGAATGCGTGGGTTGAGGGGTGTGTCCCGTTGGCCCCCTGGAGAGCAGGCTGCCTGTCACATGGCACCCAGCGCCCGTCTGTCTCTCGGCTTCACAGGGCAAAAGTCGGGAAGGGGCACGGGACATGGTCTGTTCTCAAACATGGACAGGTGGAACCCCACCCAGCCATCCTTCAGAGTCAGCCAAACCCTCCAGCCATGGTGAGGCGGGAGTAGCCACAGAGGAGCTTTCCGGGACCCTGAGTTGAGGCGCCCAGCAGTGCACAGAAGGGGTGGTCTGCCCTGACTAAGAAGGCTTCCCACAAGGCCTTCAGTATCCACCGCTCACCAGTTTATCGTGTAAAGAGCACGTGGTCCACAGTCCGGGGATGCCGGACCCAAGGATCCCTGCTTGTCGGGGGAGGGAGGGAGCGAGGGGCAGGAGGAAGGCGGATGGAACCCACACTCATCCCTGCAAACGCAGAGCAGGGCGCAGACACGGATGCCGCAGACACGGATGCCGCAGACACGGATGCTGCAGACATGGATGCCGCGGTGGTGTGGCTGGTGTGAGGCCCACACGGTGCTCTGCAGGGGAATCGGGGAAGGGCAGAGCCAGGCCGGCTGTTCAGCTGCTGCTGCTCAGTGGTGACCTGCAAGTTCTGGTCCCTGCAATGCAGGCATGAGCCGGGGTGACTGACACTGTTCAAAAGGGGCAGAGGATGCTGCTCCCTGCAAGGCAACCCTGCTAAGGCCGCAGCCACACCCTAGATGGGCGCCCCCCGAGCAGAGCAGCTCGCCTGGCCGAGGGGTAGCGGGGGGGCATTGGGCTTCGGGTTAGGAGGTCCAGTCCTGGTGCCATCACCCGGCTGTGCGGGCCTGGACACCTCGGTGCGGGAGGGGTGCGGGTGGTGGGGGCACCTGGGAGGCCTGGCGAATGGCAGTGTGTTCCCCACAGCGCCCTCAGTCGGAGTAGCCGCTGCTCCCCGCGCCTGTGCCTTGGCCCTCACCAGGCTGGACGTCCTGCGGGGCCTCAGGGTTCACAGCTCCTGCCCCTTTCTCCACAGACGAGGCTTCTCAGACCTTGAAGGACAAGCTGCCGCTGCTCCAGAGCGCCGAGCTCCTTCCCACCACGCTCAACTTGGTCCTGTACGGGCTGCCGCACCACGCCATTGGCTAGCACAAGCCTGGACCTGCCTCCCGTCAGCTGCTGTGGCCCTAGCACCTGCCTCTGCCCTTGGCTCTGCCCCTCTGCCAACCCATCCCCACCTCCTGGCTCCCATCCCCAGCTCCCAGCTCTCTCTCCCCTTCCTGGGCCTCTCCCCAGCCCTCGGTGCAGCCTCAGCCAGAGATCCTTCCCCAGTGACTTCCGGCAAAACCGCCTTTCCCTGGGGTGAGGCACCCCCGGCAGGACCTCCAGGTGCCCAGTGCACGGCTCAGAGCCCCAGCAGACGGAGCCTCTCAGCGCTGCACCGGGCACTAGTGCTGAGTTGCTCAGACCAGAAGCGCTGTTTGGACTGTGAGCCTGTTTTTGATTTGAGTGTTTCAGTGAACAACAAAAGCCAGTCTCTGTGTGTGGTGTCTGTGACTTGAGGCTCCGGGTGGGGGGCTCCTGGCCCAGCACCTTCTGGGACGCTGGCCCGCGAGAAATGCGCCCCCTGAACCCAGCAGCTTTCCAGCGTGGAGGTGGGGGTGGGGCTCACTCCAGCCCAGGCCACGTCCCCTGTACATGTGCAGGGCCCCTCAGAAGGAACCTTCCAGAACAAGGAGGCTCGTAGCGGGGCGGGGGGTCTGTGCCAGCAAGCACCATGCAGAGCTTCTCGTGAGGAGATGCTTTTCTTCCGTGCACACTCCTGGTGGCTGCGGCGTCCAGGGGCTCCTGGGGGAGAAAGGTGCCTCCAGATGGCCTTTCTGAGCTTCTGGGTCTGTCTCTCCCACCTCAGCCAGATGGGTGGGGGCTGGGGGTCCATGGGAGGACCATGGGGCCTGCAGAGCCTTCTGGGGACTCGCCCTCCGGCCACACACATGGGCTCTGGCCAAGAACAGGGGAAGGCCCAGGACAGCCCTGAAGGGCCAGAGTGCGAGCCTCGCGTGTTCCCGCCGGCGCTCATGCCTGCCCTCTGCATGGAGCTGTTTCTTCAGCCTGGGACCTGAAAGGTGAAGGCAGAGGGGCAGCCCCCTCCCGCCGTGGGCAACAGGAGCTCAGTGCGGGAGCCACGTGAGGCCAAGGCTGCCTGTGCAACCGCAGAATCTCCTCCATGTCTGACGGGGCAGCAGGGGCAACGTGCCGTGAGGGAGGGAAGGGTCTGCTGAAGGCGTTCCTGCCCACACTGCGCCCGTGGAGCCCACGCTCCCAGCTGGGCACCCATCCAACTGCTGCGGGGCACTGACACCAGGCCAAAGAGAGCCCAGACAGCTGGGTCAGGACAGGTGGCCCCAAAATTGTCCAAAATAGGTCTATGGGCCAGGCACAGTGGCCCACGCCTGTAACCCCAGCACTTTGGGAAGCTGAGGCAGGTGGATCACAAGGTCAATACATCAAGACCATCCTGGTCAACATGGTGAAACCCTGTCTCTACTAAAAATACAAAAATTAGCTGGGCGTGGTGGTGCACGCCTGTAATCCCAGCTACTCCGGAGGCTGAGGCAGGAGAATCACTTGAACCCAGGAGGCGGAGCTTGCAGTGGGCCGAGATCGCACCACTGCACTCCAGCCTGGGCGACAGAGCAAGACTCCGTCTCAAATTTAAAAAAAAAGAAAAAAGAAAAGGTCTACGTACCTATTCCTATAGCTGGAATTTAAAAAACAATAAGGATAACATCAAATGCTGTGAGGACACCAGGAAATGGGCTCTCACACATTGTGGTGCAGCGTCTTTGGAAAACAGTTTACCTGATTCTTGTCAAGCCGAAACCCAGCAACTGCACCGTTAGGCGTTTAGCCCAGAGGGCGGGAGATACACTTTCACACAAATGTACACACGAGTGTTTATAGCAACCCTGTGTCCGTCCACAAGCAAACGGTCAAACCCTACTCTGTCCACTCGGGGTTAACATTGCCCGGCAACAGAAGCAAAGGAATGGTGGCTCCGGCCCGGACAGACCTCCAGGACTTGGGCTGAGGACAAAGCCAGCCTCAGAAGCTTCACCCACGGCAGGGTGCGGCTTGCAGAGTGTCTCAAAGCGGCCGAGCTCTAGCGCTGCACAGTGAGTGCGCCTGGCACGGGGGCCGGCGGCTGACACACCAGTTGTGTGTCTTGATTGTGACAGCAATGCCCGTCGCTGCCTGAGGAAGGAACGCCTGTACAAGTGGTGAAAACAGACCACAGCACCCGCAGTTCTCCGAGAGCGTGAACCAGTCTCACGTCCCGGCTTTGCCGCCTGCTGCAGCTGTGCCGTGTCACCGCTGGGGAAGCCGGGGAGCGGACATGCGGCGCCATGCCCGTTTTTGCAACTCCCTGTGAATCTATCATTAATTTGACATAAAAATTTTAAATGCACATCTTTGATAATATTGAAAGGTTATGTGTGATTTCCCTTTTTTGTTTGATTTTTCTTTTTTCAAATATATACACATACTTGTTTCAGTTTAGGAAAAAAAAAAAAAAAGCTAACTAATGACCAGGAAATAAATTCAAATCAGAGCTGCGCTGGAAATATGGGTTCCCTTCTATGGAGCTGCTGGCGCCCACCCAAACAACAAGAATAAAAGCTTCTGGAAATATTTCATCCGTGCAGTACCACATTTTTTACCCTGCGCTGTGTCCACGCATGTGAGAAATATTAAACAGTGAGTGCTGTTCCATGCATCACAGGCTTTAAAATAACTTTCTGAATTATGTCCCGGCAACATAACAAATCACGTTATCAATTAGCTTCCATAACAGAAGTGGCATTCTGTAATATATTCAAGCATAAAAAAATTGCATCGGTGAAATTTATGTAACCCTAAAAACTATAAGGCCAGAGCAGAAGGCTTGGAATTTATTGGAGATGATGGGGGACAGAGGGTGGTCTCGCGGTGTCAGCCCTCAGCCTGCAGGCCCTGAGCACACCGCAGAAACCACGCGGACTGTGGGGGCCGGGACTTCCAGGAGATGCGAAACCAGCCGGCGGCCCCCAGCCCAGGCCTCCCTCGGGATGGGGGAGGCAGGGACCCTCCTGCACTGCTGTCCCCACTCGGGCAGTGACCGGGTGAGCACAGGCCCCAGGCCACATGCTCGGCAGCCCCATCCTCTCCCTGGAAAGCAGCTGGAAACCTGGCCCGGGCCTTCGGGAGAGCACGAGGTGAGGCTCACTGTGCCCAGGCTGGGGGCTGCCCCCCCAACTTCCTGACTGCGTGCTGGGCGAGGTGACTTCCCTCCAGCCCTGGCGATTCCCTCCCACGAGGCCTCGTCCTGCTTGGGTCCCAGGTGGGTGGAGGGCACCCCCAATAAGCCGCCCAATTTGGTGCCCTCAGTTCTTCCACCCTCTAAAAATGTCCATTTATTAGTTTACAGATTGAAAATGTTTACACATTTAGAACGAGGGTTTTTAGGAAGCGCTCCCTCGTAGCCCGCACCCAAAGCCACACCAGATGGCAATGTTGAGGGGTCCTTTCTGTCTCCCGTCAGCCTCCGTTCCTGCACAGTGAAGCTTGTGCTGTGTCTCCAGTACCTTTCCCGGCTTCCCCACTTGGAGATGGTCAAGTCCGAGTCCTCGTTTAAAGCCCCCCTTACCCTGCGACAAGCACCTGGCAAGGAACCTCTAAAGGAGTGTGAGTCCCGGCAGCCCGGTCTCTGGAACGCAGCCTCAGCCCCTCACTGCACCGGCGGAGGGGGCCTCTCTGGACAGGGTGGGGCGACAGGGCCCCATCAGGTCTGGGCCACAGCAGAGTGGGCTGGGGGGCCTGGGCACAGCTGGTGCTTCCCGTCCCATACCCACTGGGGTCACACACGTGTAGCTTGGAAGGTGGGTCCCCGAAGTTCCCACCCAAAAGGCCGAGGGAAGGCCAAAAGGTGTGGCCAGCACCCTGCAGTCGTTCCTCTTTTAATCCCCAGGTGCACCTGCCGCCCCCTGACCCCTACCCCACCTCCGCCTCTCCCTGCTTTGGCAGCCTCAGGCCCTCCCCTGCAGCCTGGGGGCCTGTCCTGGTGCCCTTGGGTTCCTGGAGCTCCCGGTTTGTCCCCTGAGCCACGCCCTGGCCGTCCTCCCCGGAAACACAGGGGCTCTGGGCCGCAGCTTACAGGCACAGCCAAGAGGCCTTTCAGACGGATTTGGATGAAGGAATTAGGCGGGTTAATAAAACTAAAATGTTCACAGATGCTTGTATATAAATTTCTATTAAGTTGCCTCATCCAACACTGGTCTCTAATAGTTTAATTTCTGTGTTAAATAATTAAAACTCTATCTTCAATTGCTGTGAACAATTGTTTTCCTTAATGATCTTCCCAGAGGAGCCAGTAATTTTATATCTTGTAAAAATGATTAAATGGCATCATTATCCCATATCTCTGAAATATAACTCAGCAACTCCAGGAGAGGCCATTTGTATTCAATTAATGCTCCCTCGTGCGAGACGTGGGTGTCACCTCACGCCAGCCTCACCCGGCTGTCCTCTTTTATGATGACGATGATGAAGATGGAAACAACCAGTTTAATTATCCCATTTCCAACACAGAAATCAATTTCCAATACGTCTTCACCCGTAAAAAAAAAAAGGCAGCCGTGGTTCCTGGGAAGGGCAGGAGGAGCGAGAGTCCTGCGAGGGGACAGCGCTGTGGGGACAGGGCCGTGGGGACAGGGCCGTGGGGACAGGGCCGTGGGGACAGGGCCGTGGAGACCCGGCCAAGGGGGTGGACCTGAGGCTCTGGGGTCGGTCAGCTGCTCATCCCCCTCCCAGCCCCCTTCCCACGTGCAGGGCTGGGCCCTGGGAGCTCCCTGCCCCTCCTTGCTGAGCTCAGGGCTCTGCACCCTCAGAGGGGCCTGGGCCCCCCACCTCTGTCCTGTTCCCAGGGGTTACCCTCCCCTGCCCCTCTGGGGCGTGGGTTCCTGGGATGCTCCCGCTTGCTGGGCCGACATGCTGACCCCCATCGGCCCGTCCTGCTGTCCTGGAGTGGCTTTAGTGTGGCGCAGAGCCACTCCTGCTGTTAGGGTGACTCGAGGGACACGCCTGCCTGGCTACTCATCACTGTGCTAGTGGCCAATATAATCTAATTGTTTGACATTTTTATCACAATTCACTGGGACCGGAGTGAGATGGCTAGACTGACACCCCGTGCAGTCGGCTAATGGCCACACAATTACGGGGAGCTCTTACATGTTCTTATTACGGATTTTAATTCTTTGTGACAAGAGGCAAGAGATGGGTTAAGATAATGGGGACGCGACTGAACTCCACCTGC